TTACTGGCAGGAATATACCAATACGGTATGGGTTCGTGGGAAGCTATAAAAATGGATTCGTCATTTGAGATTGGAGATAAAATACTCACTAATGAAGATAAGAAACCTCAGGCAAAACATTTACAATCACGCGCCGAGTATTTATTGAAACTAATTAAGAAATTGTTAGACCAGAAGAATGGTAAGCAGAAACAGAGGAAGCCTCGGACTAAACGGGGTCAGAAAGAGCCAGTTACTAAAGACATAGTGGAAGATGATGGTAGCTCTCCAGATGAGAATAAGAAAAATAATAAGACTGGTAAAAATGATAAACAGGATAAGGTATATATATAGTAAATTATCAAATTGTAAATTATATTAAATAATAATTATATAAAAAAATCTTAAAATAATCTTAAATTTTTCAGAATAAATCGAAGTTAGATGATGTTTTGACACATGATGAAGCTTCAAATGATAGGAAAGATAGAGATAAAAAACGCACAAAGAGAGACAGCAACAGAAAGTCTGACAAATTAAAACCTCGGAATAAGAAACCTGCTGGTCCCATGCATTTTACAGCTAACAATGAGCCAAGAGCGTTGGAGGTTCTCGGTGACCTTGACCCATCAGTTTTTGAAGAGGTAAGTCACGGAAGTACTACTGGAATCTCTGAATTGTTTTAGTTCATTACTAATAACTTGTATTTGTTAATCGTAAAGATATAGAGGCTAATCCCTTTTGCCTTCTTTCTACATTACTCATTATTATTTTTAAACAAATTGTCTGATCCAAATTGTTGAGTAACTGTTTAATATTATGTCCATTTTAATTTTTCAGTGCAAAGAAAAGATGAGGCCTGTCAAAAAGGCCTTGCGAGCTCTCGACAATCCAGATCAAACATTGTCGGAAGCTGATCAAGTTGCTAGAACGAGAGCTTGTCTCACTCAAATAGGAAACCAAATAGACATATGTGTAGATGCATATCCTGATCCAGAAAAGAAAGTGGAGTGGAGAAGTAATCTCTGGTATTTTGTGTCGAAATTCACAAACTTTGATGCAAAGCAGCTTTATAGGTTATATAAATATGGACTGAAGAAAAATGAATCGTCTAGTAAGAAAGATGGGAAACATAAAGAAAATGTTAAGGTTAGTATTAACCACCAGGAATGATTAGAATAGCTATCATTAATTTTGTATTTGTGTTCATTTTTATCTCATGTCTTTATTGTTATTGCAGAATAATAAGAATAATCACAATAGTAATCATGTAAAATCTTATAAAAAAGATGGAAAAGCAGATACTACAAATGATAAAAAAGAGAAGAGGCCTAAAACAGATCGCGATAAAATAGACAAACTAAACGACAAAACTCCACATACTTCTGGAATTAAGAGAAAGTTAGAAGAAGGAGAGTGCGACCCGGAACCTTCCGAAAATAAACGTCACGAAAGGTAAATTTTGATTGATTTTGAAACATTACTAACATTCTTGTATAGAAAGTCTACCCATCACCACTCTCACCTGCTTCCTCATGTACCATTCTTGTAATAATGTGCTATTTTCATAATAATATAACTCATCAAATTGCTAACCTCTCCTGTGTCGCTCACCACCATTATCGCTTTGTCCATCCCTGCAGACATAAACACAAGCACAAGGATCGCAAGGATAGGGATAGGAGCCTGAAGCGGGACGATTTGATGTACAGAGAGCGGAGCCGGACGGAGCGGGAGCGGGAGCGAGACCGCGACAGGGAGCGCGACCGAGACCGGGACCGAGAGCGCGAGCGGGACCGCGACCGAGACCGTGAACGATCTCGCACGCGCCGCGACAGTGGCGGCCTAGGCAGCGCGCGTTCGCGCCCGCCCTACGCCATGGCGCACCCGCACCCCGAGCACCCCGCGCACCCTGCCTGGACGCCGCCCGCCTACCCCGGCCCACGCCAGTACCGCACGGACCGCACCCCGCGTCCTCACGACAAGAGGAGGTAACGATTTATACTTTTTTGAAGCTAAATATTATAGCTCATAATCCAGCGACAGACTTCCTGTCTCCTCTCGTTCGATCTTTTGCACTTTTTAAAAAGTATAATTAGTTGTTTCCTCCCGATTAAAATTTTATTTAAGTTATAGTTAGGATAATATTTTGAAGAAAGAAAATCATAAGCTGGTTATAAAGTGAAAGATCATATTATAACAGGGCATCTTATAGCAGAAATGTTAATAAATTGTGCAACTTACTAAATTCTAAAAGCAAGTAAGACTACACTACAAGATCACCATATATTGCTATTGGAATTTAGTAAGCAGCTGACGATTTCTTTCTTCAACAAATAATTTTTAATCAAGAGGAAACGGAAATTCTAATTTTATTTTTACAACTGTTTGGACGACTATAGCTGCACGATCTCCCGTTATTATCGCAGCTGATGTTCATAACTCATACAGCGCACTGAAGAATTTTAAAAGTTATTAACGTAATTGAAATAAGTGACAAAAAAATGTGCCCGGCTTTACGGGCTAATAATTATTATACCCGATTAAGTTTCTAATCAGTACCTTGTCATGTTTCCAGCAGGTACAGCAGCTTCGGTGCAGTGCCGGGCCCATACAGCGCTTACTATGACAGCGCTAGCATGCCGGGGAGTATGGGCTTCCCGCCAGTGCGGCCGTACCCGGACGAGTGGCGCGGGTACACGCAAGCTGAGTACGCGTACGATGAGCGGGACTACGAGCGGGAGGTGTACCGGAGAGATTACGATCGCCGCGCACCTCCCACGTAAAGTTTCAGTTCCGTCTCCTGTAAATAACTTTGTATTTTGTAAATATAGACTAGTAATCTCTTGTCGAGAACGCTGGTTTAACCGTGAAGTGTAAAGTTTAAGTGACAAAAAGTGCTGTGGTTTTTATCTATGTGATAAGCGAAAGCGCATCGATATAAAATGAGACATTAATAGTGACATTTTATAAGTAAGACTGTATAGTAAATTTAATTTATTGCCGAATCTGTCTATTGTTAGTGTACAGAATTTAGAAAGAAATACCATTAATTTTTATAATGTTCCAATTTAGTCGCAGTCGTAATGTTTTATAATGTCTAATCCAATTATCTATTTATTTGATGCCTCATAATATCATGATTTTATCTATTTATTTGATGCTGTATCATGATTTTATGTAATAAATTAATGACAGAAAGAAGTGATATAAATAGGTCGTAGCAAATGTACAAAATTTAGCAATTGTTAGTAGGTTTGCATGTAATTAAAAATCATGTGCAATTTCAATAAATTGTGTATTATAGCTTAGCAGAAAAGGGCACATATTGTCATTGCATTTTAGCAGTGGACAGGAAGGAGTTTTAATTTGTAAATTCATTTCTCATTTTGCGTGCATTTCCGAGTCTAGTTGTGACTCGTACAATCCTATTTTTATACATTATGTAAAGTCTTATTCTCTGTTACATGCAATTGTGAATGTAATAAGAGTGAAAACGTCTTAAATGGTTATATACCATGATAATAAATAAACATATTAAAGTTGAAACCTGTTTTTTCTTTAATGTTCCACAAAAATATTCGATTATAGGTATTAATGATTTTACAAAAGGGTATATTCAAGGTCAAGGTCGTTTCCACCCTATCCCTCAATCAGGAAATGTCTTTTTTACGGGTGTGAGCGGGTTGCGAAAATTTCGTTATTAGCTAGGATTTTGTTGATATCTCAAGATTTTCAAATTGACAAGACCAGCCTAAGCAGGATGTCACTAAAAATTATCCCGCTTAGCTGACCTGAAAATTATTTATTGTTCTTAACCGTTGTGATGATGCGAGCTCAGCCTCGGTTGAGCTTCGTCGGTCGTTGCTTCTAGTTCGCCATGAGATAGCGCCGGAACTCATCCCGTTATATAGGTACGGAGTTTAGTCTGGACGCGCCTCATCGCGCAAATTGCAGACGCGTGCGAGCACTTTGGCCTCCTGTGGCGGTAATCCACAATCATGGCAATCCGGTAAAAATATGGCTGATTATCTTCTGGTCCTGGTTACGCCTACAAACAAATTGGTCACATGACACACAGATTCGAAACAACAATTTGTGGTGTGGATTCCGCATGGTTACCCAACCACCCCGCGCTGTTATCAAAATAGCCTGGAAAGCTACCTACTTACATACATCTACAAAGTTATCGTTAACGTCGAATATTCACAAGTAGGTAGGTATGTACTGTTATGTACACAATATCGACCGTAACTTATTGGATAAGAAGCCAGAAAATGTTCCTAAAGATAGGTAGTAGGTAGGTAAAGTCAAATCTACCGACATACACTCATATAAGATTAGTTTTGCTTCACTCTTTGGCCATAAATAGTACAATGAGAATGAGAACAGCTACTTATAAAAAAAATAATCACTTGACACCTATACAAATGTAGTAGTGTTACTTTTGTATGATGTTACTTTCGTATGATCATCGAAATTCTAAAGCTAGGTACGTACCTACAACTGTGTATTTCGAGGTTCCCGTTATTGACTAGGTGCCTAAAAGTCCGGTTACATTAATCCCTTTCCCAATGGCCGTACTGCAGTGCGCATGCTCGCTAGAGTTCATTCAGACAAGTGCTTCATTCCAGCTTCAGTAAGTCAGTACTTCTCCGTCGATTGGGGGGACATCGCGTCCACCATGACGATTGGTCTGCAAAAGAAAAACATTACTTATTTTTAGTATTTGTTGATACGTAATCGTGTTTTTACCCCGTGATCCGGTTTAAAGTAACATGCGAAAGAAAAATTTTAGGTGAGTTAGTTTAAACACTATCGAAAGGTTCAATTTGATCTGAAAACCTAATTAAGTTTACTTGTAAATATAAGCAAAACCGAATGTTATTATTGATCGTAAGATATTGAATTACAAATAATTTATTAATGCATTCTGCAGATAGTAGATAGGACTACGACTATTATCAAAGGAATGAGTGTGTGCTTTTATGTTTTCGTAGAAAAAAGTGCAATGCGAATATATGATGTGTGATGGTGGAAACAAGGAGGGCCAAGTGCGGCGAGCCTGTCGGACAATGGTGAGCGTGACACTGCTGCCGCTCTTGGTGCTGGTGGCTACTGCTGATTGCTGTTATCTTTTCCCCAGCGGTAAGCATGGTGATAATTAGGCAGCTTAGCAATATCTTCGAAGATTCTGCCATTTTCAAATGGCATTATGGCATAAATAAATTCACTTCTAGAGTCACATGTATAATAAATTTTGATGTTGCATAATGGTCTGATGTTGGGGTGTTCAGACGTTCCGGATCCGTGTCGTGGTGTAATTTGCGGGCCGGGTGCGCTGTGCCGGCCCACGCCCGATGGCCGCGCGTACAATTGCGAGTGCCCCACGTCGTGCCCCAGCTACGGCGACCACGAGGGCTCCAGACCACTCTGCGCAAGCGACGCCCGAGACTACCCTGGCGACTGTGAGATGCGCAGAGCTGCCTGCGAATCAAATACAAATATAACTTTCAAGTATTATGGTAAATGTGGTAAGTATTGGATTTGAGAGCTCCCGTTTTTTATATTCCATACCCGATGATGTTAATGTAGCGTGCGTCGTCGAATAGAGAATTCACTAGTAGTAAACCATTGGATATTTATTCAATTTATGAGAATTATAGTGATTTGAGCATTGATACCTTGTTTTTAGATCCTTGCTCTGGAGTGACGTGTCCAGACCCTGAAGTGTGTCAGCTGGACGACCGACGGTCTCCATCCTGCCGTTGTGCGGAACCCTGTCCCCTCGAGTTCTCCCCAGTCTGCGCCTCCGACGGGAAAACCTATTCAAACGAGTGTCAGATGCATCGGGAGTCCTGTCGAGCCAGAAAGCAGTTGAAGATTATATTTAAAGGACAGTGCAGTTCTGGTAAGTGAAACAAAACCAGTGGCACATATCATACCAGGCCACAACTGTGCGCTTTTCACGTAGCTTTCTGCCTCGCATAGCAAAACTGTGGAATGAGCTGTCGTCGGCGGTATTTCCGAACCGATACGACCTTCAAACCTTCAAGAAAAGAGCGTATTCCTTTTTAAAAGATCAGCAACGCAACTGTGATTCCTCTGGTGTTGCGGGTGTCCATAGGCGGCGCTGATCGCTTACCATCAGTTGATCTGTCTGTTTGCCTCCTATTTCATAAAAAAAATACCGTGTTGAGTATAAGCGTAATTGGTTTACAATGAACAATTTTTTAACGGCACCATACATTATAACAGACAGGAAAATGTTAACTGTGGTTTGGATTTTACGAAATAAAATAAATATATTTTTCCAGGTGTAAACCCTTGTGCCGAGTGGAGTGTAGGCACGGTGCGGAGTGTCGCGTTGAGGGAGGTGGTGCGGTGTGTGCCTGTCCACCACCCTGTGAGCCTGTCTTACGGCCCGTTTGCGGCTCGGACTCACGCACTCACGATAGCGAGTGTGAACTGAGGAGAGCTGCCTGTCTACTAGGAAGGGAGCTCAGGGTACTCCACGCAGGAGCTTGTGGTGAGATATAATATTAAATAATTTCAGTGTTCTTAACACCATATAATATAGCAATGATTCTTCGATGTTCTTTGTTTAGAGTTGTAAAATGGCAATGCAAAGTCACTAATCAAGCGTATAGAGATTTATTCACCAAAGATGGAGCCAGAACAGAGGTTCAGCAGTGGAAATTTTCTGGGCAATGATGATGTTGAATGCCAAATTTATAGAATTACTTAAAACAGTACTGATGGATACATCGATAAATTCAGGTTCCAACGGTGTATGTGCTGACCGCGTGTGTCCTCACGGCGGAGAGTGCGTGGCGACGGGCGGTCGTGGTGTGTGTCGGTGTCCACGTTGCTCCAACGAGTTTGCGCCCGTTTGCGGCTCGGACGGGATCTCGTACGGCAACCGTTGCAAGCTGCAGCTAGAGGCCTGTCGACATCGGCGAGACGTACAGGTGCTGTACGACGGACCCTGCAGTGAGTAAACATTTTGTTAATTCAATTATTTTCTTTGAAACACTGCGTTTTTGCCCAAATCATAAAAACACGATGGCGGTTGCCACAAATTCAATTTCCAAGTTCTACTTATAGGATGAAATAATGTATCTACCTACCTTCGTGAAAAAGACTGACTTTTGGACAATCGATTTAAAGTTAATTTTGATATTCCCCTGTCTCTACAGACGGGTGTGAAAACAAGAAGTGCGAGTTCTACGCGGTCTGTGAAAGCGACGGGGTCTCTGAAGCGAGCTGCGTCTGTCCTAAGCATTGCGAAGAAGGAACTGTCAGTATACATTTATCTATGAAAATATACAATTGAAAATTACAACCAGTATCTAACAGAAGGGAATATATAGTACCTAACGAGTTTAGATTATGAAATACCTGTACATGTATTTAATTTTTCAGGAAACGGAAGAAGTTTGTGGGACAGATAATAATACGTATAGTAGTGTGTGCGCACTGCGTGATACCGCTTGCAAGGAGAAGAGGCGAATTCATATCAGGCATATGGGATCCTGTGGTAAGCGACTACATGAGATAAACTGTTAAAGTCTACATTTAAGATACTGTTAGAAGTACCCAAGAAAACTAGGTCTATAAAAACTTTTCTCTTCCTACAACCAGTTGAATGTCAGCTGCGTATTGTTAAGTTGTTATTCGGTAAAAAAGAGTTGTGGCATACCTACCACATACAGCGGCTGAGAGCTCAACCCATTCCTTTCTGTCTTTTTTAGATATTTAACTTTATTGCTTTGATTTAAAGTCGAAATTGAATTAAATATCTATGTATAGATACCACTATATTTTTGTGTTTAGAATCGTGTGCGGAGATCGTGTGTCCAGCGGGTACATGGTGTGCCCGGGGCACTTGTGGGTGTCAGGCAGCCTGCGCTGAGGCAGCTCGAGAGCCTGTCTGTGGAGACAACCGGAGGACGTATCCACACCACTGTGCACTGAGGCGGAGTGCCTGCGAGGCTAAGGCGCGAGGCGAGCCACCGCCTCGAGTCGCATACTACGGCGAGTGTACGGAACAAGATGAGAATAATACTGCAGGTACAACTGACTAGTGATCATAGTTGTTGAAAGCCTAATATAACACTTTCAATCATACATCCTAATAACTGCTACTCACCTATTCCCTGTCTATGACATGGAACCCATAATAAAAATAGCGAAAAGTATCTAGGTGTTAGCATTAGTATTAATATCTCTACTCTACATTCTTCTTTGGCTTAATAAAAGTCGTGAAAGTGATGTAATAAAAAATATAATATTTTCTATAACTTTATTCTTATTTATCATCTGCACACAGACGGTAACAGATCATCGAAGTACACAGACTTGAGCAACGAGATCCGCGCGGGAGATGAGAATGAGAACTCTAGCGAAGCTGTGACCGGCACCGCGGTGTGCGCGCGAGTGCAGTGCGCGTACGAAGCTACGTGCGCTGTCGACTCTAATGGACAACCCAGGTTATACACAAGAGAATTGTTATACTCAAGGCCTGTTTTACAATGTTTGGATAGCCGTTATATATCAGTTAAGAATAAAATTACGAACGTAATTTGTATGAACTATCATATCCTTTAACTATTTGTAGGTTTTATATGAAGGTGACGAAACAGGCTCTTAATCTAAAAAGAAAAATAAACGTTCCCTAATATAGTATTGTCTCCTATGACAGTATTTGTTCCCGGTGTGTATATTTTTACCGACTTCAAAAAAATAAAGAGGAGGTACTATGTTCAGCTGGATGTTTTTTTTTTGTTTGTTCGCGCATTACTCCGCATAATAAACCTACTAAACCAAAATTAATTCGTATACAGTTGAAAAATATTTAAAACAATATCTATTTATATGCCTTAGATGCGCATGTCTGTTCGATTGCGCGGCCGCAGCTGCAGCAGCCGCGTCGTCGGCTCCAGTGTGCGCGTCCGACCTCAGGCTGTACCCAACTCTGTGTCATATGAAGCTGGAAGCGTGCAGAAGACAGGAAGATCTCAGGCTACGACCACTGCCTGTATGCCGAGGGTTAGAGGTATGTATTTAATAACTTAATAAAATAATAAATAAAAATAGTTCATTAATAACAAAGACTTCCAATAAGTTGTCCAATGTTTATTATCATTTTAGCGAAGGTTAATATACTACCTGAACTTAATTAAACTAAGCACAAATTAATACTACCTAAAATTAATGAAACTGAGTACAAATTAATACTACCTAAAATTAACTAAACTGAGCACAAATTAGGTAGTATTTTCCAAGGGTACGAAAAAGTTCACAATAGTTTACGAAACGTCAACATTTTTTTAAAGTTTTTTTTTGTACATATAGAGGTAGTATTATATAGTATTACTAGTATTTAATTCTTCACAGTTCAGGCCTTGTGGTGATGATGAGCCACTGACAGATGCTGAAGGTAGACCCATCGATTGCGGCGGTGGTCCTCATAGGAAGGACTGCCCAGTCGGTAGCTACTGCCATCACACTGCCAAAGCTGCCCGATGCTGCAGGAAAGGTGACTTTATTTGTTCTGATAATAAAGCATGTTTTTGATTATAGTTGACACAATTTAGGTTTGCAAATGTTAAAAGGTTTATAATTATCCGATTTCTTAAGATTTAATAGTATAATCTCGAATCTAATCTAAATCTAATTTACTATTTACTAATATTATAAATTGGAAAGTGAGTTTGTTTGTTTGTTTGTTTGTTCCGCTTTCACGCCGTAACTACTAAACTGATTGCTTTGAATTTTTGCAGACATAAAGTAAGAAGTCTAGATTAATAATAGGGTACTTTTTATCCCGGAAAAATTTGATATTCCCGAGGGAAAACAAAAGTATTGGTATAGATGGCGCTGTGTGTATTGGTATATGTCACATAGGCTACTTTTTATCCTTTTGTGATGCGAGCGAAGCCGCGGGTAAAAGCTAGTACCGAATAAAATAAAGAATGTTATTAAGAAAGGTAACTCACAAACTGAAGTGAATTATCAACACTACTTACTATCGACAACAATTTAGAAAAACTTACAATAATTTACTAATATTATAAATTGGAAAGTGAGTTTGTTTGTTTGTTTGTTTGTTCCGCTTTCACGCCGTAACTACTAAACTGATTGCTTTGAATTTTTGCAGACATAAAGTAAGAAGTCTAGATTAAATAATAGGGTACTTTTTATCCCGGAAAAATTTGATATTCCCGAGGGAAAACAAAAGTATTGGTATAGATGGCGCTGTGTGTATTGGTATATGTCACATAGGCTACTTTTTATCCTTTTGTGATGCGAGCGAAGCCGCGGGTAAAAGCTAGTACCGAATAAAATAAAGAATGTTATTAAGAAAGGTAACTCACAAACTGAAGTGAATTATCAACACTACTTACTATCGACAACAATTTAGAAAAACTTACAATAATCAAGAATACACTGCACATAAAAACAAAAAATCTACGATAGAACTAATTGTAACTAATGACACTCATTTACAAACATGCATGCAAAAGAAACAGATTCAAGCGCATGCAGATTTTATCTTAATTAAATCGATTCGTATTTGTTTGGTGTCGAATGCCACCGAGTGGAAAACGAACGATATACCGAGCAGAAAGTACACAAAGCAAACAGAGGCACCGCTAGTAGTATTGTTTGCATAATTTATTTAGAAAGTTGCATTGCCCAAGACAAATAACGAGCTATTTACATATTTACTTGATCTATTTATGGTAGGTGAAGTGAAAGATGTTAGGTTGGTACTGATCGTGGCAGTGGCGGTGTAGAAATCACACATCGTTTTATAATGAACGTACGTTGTGATTTCATTAGAGAAGATTGACGGTTCAATTTTTAGACGTAGGATGGTGTACGTAGTTAAAACTATGTTAGTAAAGAAATATGGTTTTGTTCGATTGTGTAGTAATTTACTTTTATTTAACTAAACACAACGACGGCGCGGTTTGTTTCGCCTTTTCTCAATTTTATGAGTTTGTATTTGGTATTGATTTGAATTTCTCGCTGAATATGAGAAACATCATGATAGGTACACATATTTTTATTTCTGTTTTAAAAAATACTTCTGTCACAGATAAAGCAGTTGTTGAGAAGAAAGGTTGCCAGGAGTCTTGGCACGGTTGCTGTGCTGACGGTGTGACTCCGGCTCGAGGGCCGGGTGGTGCCGGATGTCCAGCCGTATGCGGCTGTCACCGGCTCGGGTCCGTTAATGAACAATGTGATGAAGAAGGACAATGTGCCTGCCGCCCCGGGGTCGGTGGCCAGAAATGTGACCGTTGCGAACCTGGCTATTGGGGACTTCCTAGAATCGGCACCGGACATACTGGTTGCATACGTAAGTGAAGTGAATTATGCAGCTATTGATTACCGGTGGCTTTAGAATTTTAATTAACTGCTACAAAATATTGCTATGTCACCAATTTTAACATTTAGTTGCATATGCGACCAATAAGAACGACTTCTTTGACGAGTGTTTATGGGGGCAGTCTAGTTTAAATTCAATAGTTATCTAATTTGATGGAAAATTCAGAATCCAGAATTAAAATATATCCATCGTTTTAGCTTGCGGTTGTTCTGCGTTCGGATCAGTACGAGAGGATTGCGAACAGATGACAGGTCGATGTGTTTGCAAGCCAGGCATACAAGGACAGAAGTGCACCGTCTGTTCCAACCACGAGCATACACTGGGACCTAATGGCTGTTTTGATCGTGAGTATTTATTTCTTTAATATCAATCGTCGCTTTAATGCTGAATGGTAAAAGACATGAACGAAAATACAGTGGAATTAAAACTGAAACACGACAACATACACCGATTTTCATATTAAAATGTTTTTCAACAGCGGAATCTACACAACTGCCAGCAACCAACTGCGAGCACATGACGTGTTACTTCGGCGCGCACTGCGCGGTGCGCAGCGGGCTGGCCGCGTGCGACTGTGGCAGCACGGAGTGTCCGCCGGCCGACGGGCCCTCCGTCTGCGGCAGCGACGGCCGCACCTACCTCTCTGCTTGCCACCTGCGCACACACGCCTGCAGGACCCAGTCCGACGTCGTGGTGCAAGCCTTCGGGCCATGCAGCGAGGAGGCACCCCACGTGCGCCGAGGTAGTCGCGCCAGTAGGTCCAACCGCTCGTCCCTCACTCGGCAGAATAGTGACCTCCACACCAGCACGCACGTGGACCCCGACAAAACATCGCTCAAAGACTTCGAGTATATCAAACAAAGCCCCAACTCACTGCAGTTCACTGACGCTTCCGTAGACACCAGTGATAGCGGCAAACCCGACAGTCCTGAACCCGAGCTCACCTGTATTGACATACTCCCGCCAATTGGATATCGCTAGACTTGTAAGCTAGATGTTGTAGAAATCATTTTGTAGTAGAATATTTGATTTATAATAAAAAGTCAGATTTAATATCCTTCAATTGATAATTCGCAGAAAAAACATACACTCATTCTAGTAGTGTTATAGAGAATAACGTCGAAGGGAACTGTGCCAAATCTGGTAAAGATAGCAGCCAGCCTATCATTGACGATGTTGAAGAAGAATTTGAGTCGAATGAAGTGGATGATTATTCAATTTATGAAGAATATTTAGAGGAAAACAACCGCGACATGTATGAAGTACCATTGTTTGATGGGCAAGCGAGACTGACGGCGCGCGCGAGGTTTCCTGCTAAGCGGTTCGACATTTGGGCTGAGGTTTCAGCCGTTTGCGGTAGAGGCGCATTAGTGAGTGCTTCCGGTACGAGGGACCATTTGTGGCTTGGGTTTGTGGAAGATAGGGCCGTGTTACGGTGGGACGCCGGCAGTGGGCCGTTTGAATTGCACACCGGAAAGGTTAAAATTGATGGAAAATCCAAAGTATCTGCGAGGAGGTATAAGAAGGACGGCGTATTGAAGCTTGGGTCCTCGGTGGCGAGAGGATCTTCACATGGACGAATGAGTTCGTTGGATGTGGATCCCTACATCTACATCGGTCATCCTCCGGAGAATGTTACAAAGTTAGCACTGTTTGCAATTTATGTAGAATTTATTTTTGTGACAAGGTAGTTATTTTATTTAGTTACTTGGTGCAGATTGTCAGGAGCGTCAGGTATTCAAGGCTTCGTGGGTTGCATACACCGGCTGCGTGTGAGTGGACGTGACCTGATCCCTCCATCCAGAGGCCTGACCGTCACTTCCTTCGGACTGAGATCCTGTACTCCACATAACTTAGCGCGGGTGATATGTCCATGATGACTTGAGGAGAATATTTATCTTGTTAATGCAAGAATTTTATTATCAACGATGGACACATCGATTGTTTTGTTTTTATTTCAAATCATTTATCGCAAGTTTATTATAAAACTGTTAACGTAGTCTTTCAGTAACTGTTAAACGTTTTAAGATTTTAATGTAACTATCTAGAGATGGTATTGTAAGTAATATATTTGATCTAACTTCACCTGTACTGAGTATTTCCTATTACTACTATGCTATACCTTGCAATGTGATATTCGTGTAACTTCATACAGTTTCTATAGCTGTAACATATTGTTATCTTTGACATATCTAATTCTATGCGTTTTATAATAAATTATCTCCTTTTATATAATACAGTTATTTGAAATATTTATGTTTTTCATTGAGTATGCTAATAGGGAAGGTATCACTTTACCTATAGAGTGCCCGTCAGTGCAGACCACCCTTTCTGATACAATGTTTGCTTTCTATTCGTATCCTGTGAAAGGAGTCGTATTTTATCAACCTGTTGGAATATAAAAATATACTTTGGAAAACGGATAACGTTGGTCGATGCATAATAATCAGTTCGGAACCTCGTCGTTGAAAGTGGTAAAGGAATTTAAAGTAGCAACGATCTAGAGTAAGCAGGATACTCTGGTGCGATTTCTGGGGAGGGCAAGATAATATTAAGTACAATCGCGGGTTACTGAAGCAAGTAAGAAAAGCTCTACTAGTTTGTCAGTGAGCTGCGCGACGTCATGAGGAAGAACCCCTCTGTGGTTCGAAACTAGTAGAGCTTTTCTCAGTATATTCACGTGAGTAACCCGCGATTTTACTTAATTTAGTATGTCACACGATAGTTATTATAAAAACAAGATAATATTATTGAGACTTTCAAAAATTCTCTGTAATTACCACGACTTTTGCTTATGATTAGTAACTAGATCACTAGAATCAATTGACTGCATGATTGGCGCGGTGGTTGGGCTACTGACTGCCGCGCAACGTGTCGCGGGTTCGATTCCCGCACGGAACAATTCTTTGTGTGATCCACAGATTGTTGTTCTGAGTCTGGGTGTAATATGTATGTGAACTTGTATGTTTGTAAACGCACCCACGACACAGGAGAAAATCATAGTGTGGGGCAACGGTGTTTTTAGAAAAAAAAAATTCAGAGCGTGTACCGTAATCATGGTTCCGCATACCTCTTCCAGAAATAAAACCTCTACTATAATGTTAATTAATTAAGTCAATAACAGCAATTATACCGCGGAACCAGTGTAAGTATATTATTTAAGTTATAATAGACCTCCCTTCGTTTCATTGCCGGCCCATTATTTTCTTATCAACGTTTCACCCCCACTTCCTCTTTCATAATCCTCCCTTATCGCCGCCTAGTCTATAAAAGCCGGAGACTTCAAAATTTAAAACCATTATTCTGTTGTGGCAACGAGTGGAAGTCGTCAAATTGTTTTATAAGTTTTTAACGACAATATTTAATAGGTGTTTGATGTTTATCTGATCGTCATTACAAGAGTACTCCGAGGTGTATTTTTTGATGGAATGTTATTGATTTATTGGGCTGTTAATTTTTATTCGGGTAGTGGCTGGGTTTTTAACTTAAAATCAGAAATTATCTATCTATGTATAAGTATTATTATTCTGAATGCAAAATGAAGCGTTTCAGTTTAATTGTAGCCTAGAGCTACAGCTACACTAGCGAAAGGTGAGCCGCCATTCTTGGTTAATTACTAGAATGGCACATTAATGGCTAATTAATAAAGAAGATAAAACATTCGTAGATGAACGATAGTCTTTGTAGGTGCGTTTGCAAAACAAATTTGGCTTCGACCAGACGTTCATACAATCAACGTTAATCGAGAGAAAGTGTTGTTATAACAACAGTCTCAAACTTCTCACGTTAGTCACATGTCGCGGACAGCAAGCAATAAACTCGACACTCTAACAAATTAAAAAAAAAACTGCCATTTTGCGAATAAAAATATAACGTTTACAAAATAAATGGTACGCTCGTGTCATAAAATATTTCAGTTCCAACACAAAACTTCCATTTATTAGAGAGAAAAGTCGTTGTAGTCTACTGTTGAGTTAGGTATAGTCAGAAATATGTTTAGCAGGCGAGTGTCGCCCCTAGTCATTAAGATTGAGGTGAGCCACATGAGCACTGAGCATGAGCACTCACTTAGGCGGCAGACATTAATTTCCTCATAACAGTCGTTTAGCAAACCGCCTGTGTCGCAGTAATATTGCTAAAAGCCTCTATTCATTATTTCTCTACCCCCCTACATCGCTTAAACGCTATCGTATTGATGTGACTTTCTGCGAGAAATGGGATGATGGAAATTAAGGTGCCTTGAGCCACAGATTTTGATATTATCTCCCGTTAAGCCGACGTAGTTGTTAGCCGGAATGTAATCCGCAACGTAGGTATTCCTTTGGGAATATATTAATAAGATTTTCTTTTGTTGTCAGCTTCTGTACGTAATGCGACGCATATACCACCTATCTATAAATCCACATAGTACGACAAGGTGCTTTGGGTATCTTTTTTCCGATAGTGGAGTATGAATAGAAGCTGAGTTGTGTCACACGCGCTCATTACTGTGAATAATTAATCTTTGCGAGGTGCGGTAAAAGCGTTCGTCGGGCGTCAGCCACCTATGTATGTCTGCTCACCGCACGCCGTTACCGGCTAAGTGCTTATGAAGTATTTGTTAAGAATGACAACAGAATAGATGCCTATTTAGTACCGATGCTTTAAAGAAAGGGTTGGGGTCGAGGGTCGACCGGTTAAAACGGCGTAACAAAGGGGAGTCTGAGAGTGGTGTAGTGGAACCTGCCGCCCTCTACGTATTATGATCCTATTTATGTCTACTCCTGGTTATTATTTAGAATTCGCCAAACTTCTAGGTTGTTCCTTTTATTTTAATTATGTTTGTTTTAATTATTCTTTAACGTGAACCATATTTGATAGGATCGTATATCAAATTACATTTGCTGATTAAAAATATAATGAATGTGTGCTTTCAAAGTAATTATTGTTTGTTTTTCCATCACGGTATATCATTTTTGTTTATGTCGAGGTCCTACTGTTTATTCTATTCGGTTCATCTTGTTCAAGTTGTGTCGGTCGATAAATTCTTTGCGGTAATAAATTATTTGTTACAAAATTTTAATAAAGCAAAATATTCTGTATGTTTAAAGAGAGTGAGTTGGGAATTCGTTGAAGACTCGAATGTCTTCGCAGTGCCTATTTAGCTGGAGCCTTGGCTATATAATGTGTTGTTCCTTACATAACGTTTTCATAGGAAGCGCCTAGTACACGACATTGTTAGAATTTTCAAACGGGTTAATATCAAGAGCGGCTGAGGAATGTTTAATTACCGCTGTGACATCCTGCGAGCGAGGCGCGGAGACAGTTGGCGCTAACATAGCTTGCCGCATGCCTATATAGGCTTTTCAACGCACGTCTTATAATTGTGTGATGTAACTACATATTAGCCAAATGCCTGTTTGATGTCTCAGCCAGCGCTTTGTCTGAACTGGTACAATGAATAAATGATTAATGGCGAACACACGGCACAGCTGTTCAAGTTGATGTTTGCAAAAAGTTGTTATCGCATGTTCGTGTACGCCTAGCGTGTTTAAAAAGCAATAAAATTCTAAATACATAGAACAGCAACAGGTTATGAAGTCGCGGGCAATTTTTCATAAGAGCGCAACGCGAGCGTTCTCATAGATTTCACTCTTGGCGAGGAATTAGCGCGAAAGCCACGACAATTATTTACGACGTTTCCAGTGCGGAATTACAGCCTGCCGCGCCACCGCGGCCTTTTATGTTTATTCACAGGGTTATAATTCCCGGGTGTAGAGGATTATTTGAAAACGTAAACGGAGGTGAACCCATATTTCACGCCACACGTCGGGTGCCAGTTGAAAGTAATCACTACAAATATGTCGAAAATGACCCGAGTGCACGCTTAGATGGGTGAGGTTACCGCGCCCTCATTTGTAATGCACTGACAGAATGCATAATGCAGTGCGGATTTGTTTCAGCCAGCTGCTGAGTTCGTTAACTGGCTGTGGGATTGTCATTGACTCAACATATTGATTTACTTACATGCACATAATATGTTTTTATTATGTTTTTTTATGGCATAAGCCGGTAAACGAGCAGACGGATCACCTGATGGTAAGCAATCGGCGTCGCCCATGGACACCTGGAACACCAGAGGCGTTACAAGTACGTTACCGGCCTTTTGGGAATTAGGAGTTTGAGGATCGTTGGGAATTCAGGGACTGGGGAGATTGGAGAAGGGGAGGGTAATTGGGCCTTCGGTAACCTCATTCACACGACGAAACACAACGCAAGCGTTGCTTCACGTCGATTTTCTGCTCAGCCGTGGTATCACTCCGGTCGAGCCGGCCCATTCGTGCCGAAGCATGACTCTCCCACACTTAAAAATAGACAATGTACATAGAAAGTGATATTACCGATACCTCAAGTCAGAATTGTAAAATATGATTTTGTTTCCTTAACACTAATTTGTTGACTATAAACTTCAGACACATATTGATGATTGTCGTCGTAATCATAAATATGGCTCGGCACCGGTAAGACCTACCGACAATAATAAACGGTGGCCATAACTACGTACCAATGAGTATTTACAGGAAATGCAAATGATCAAGGTGTCAAATAGCGACCATTAAATTTGGATAACGCAGCTTACGTTTATATTTCGCACGTAATCCGGCCGACGTGTAAAATACGGCGCGTCAGTAAATATTAAACTCTGCAATAATTTCGCTTGTGTCAGTGTCATAAATATTGTCCAGAGATTTTCATATTAATTGCAGCTCCACTAGAGCACCTCTGAACGCATGAATTTTAATTTTATAACCCTTGTTTACATCGACCTTTGTAAAAGTATCGCGCTCATTTGTTAATATGAAGAGAGATTTGAATATGTGTCTGTGTGCTTCAATAGACATTTTAGCACACTGTGAATTGCTCTTGTAGTCGCTTCTTTGTCACACAGATATGCTTGTTGCTTCTTGAAGATTTAAGTGGAAGAATGCTTAAGTGGTTTCCTCCATATTGTTTTTACAATCTGAATTCTTAAAATAAACCTCAGAAGTAGGTTTACCTGTGATGTATCTCACGGCGAAGGTTGAACAAATTACTGGTAATTGACTTTTATAAATTATGCTGCGGCACAACTGTAAGTGTGCAAGTAAAAACAAAGAGAACGGTCCCCGTCCTCGAGCAAGAACGCCAATTGATTTTTGATGTCGCCGACGCTCGTGATAATGATTCACTGGCCCACTACTTAGTACTCCCACCGATTGACTGACAAAAACTTTATTTATCGACGAAGTTTAATAACCGCGCTGTGTAAAAGGATCTTATACCGAACGATCATTACCTGTGATTGATTGAATTGAGTTCGCCGTTAGCTGATAGTTTAATTATTATTTATTATCATCACACCTCTGCCGCGTGCGGTTACCTCTGCAATTATGAGGTCCAATTTAATGAGTGTGTTGGATTGCCTCTGAGCTTGTACGTGATCGTATGACATACATTACACGATCGCAGTTAACTTAAATCAAATCGTCACCTAATGTGTCACATTTTTAGAGTAAGTAAATATTTTAATCCATTAAAATATTTGTACGTACAAGGGACTAACATCCAATCTCCTCATTAATGTTATTTTTTATAGGTAGAACTCGAATCACACTCGTGTTCTATTTAATATTATAGTTATCGTATATCACGACGCACGTTTTGTCCAGCACTACATTAAATTTTATAGAGACGTTTGGGTTACAGATGGGCTCTCTATAAAGACGTGGATAGGAAAACATTAGTTCGTTTTCTAGCTCAACAAATCAAGATAGTGTCGTGATAAACGTCGCATCCAATCACCTGGTGTCCTGTTACCAGGTGCGTGGTTTTATTTACGCGAGACCAATCAGTATGTAAATATGTAGGGTAGGTGAATGTTCTGGAGCGAGTGGGCAGAGGCTCTGCGCTGTGCACAGCCTCCGGCGCGCCCTGCGCTCGTGCGCACGCTTATGACACCGCTTCTAACGTTGCAAATCCTGCAGTGACGTGCTTGCCGTATCTGATAAATGCGACCGGACCGGGAAATAAATGTGTTTACTTATCAGGACGGTCAACCCAGTAATCGTTTATTTACTTTGACGATGGGTCTCGCGTGGTTTATATTGCTGATGTTTGCGCTGGACATGGTGACCACAGACGTGCCGCGCACCCGCCTGCCTCCCGCCGTCTCTGCGTGCAACACAAGTGTCACCTACAACAAAGTGCTGCTGAAACACGTCACCCTCCTGTCCAAGTACGTGTTTACGGGTAAAGTGTTTGGTGTAAAATCCGGTTATAATGGAACCCGAATTTACAAAGTGAACATACGCCGGGTATTGAAGGGTGATTTAAATGATATAGGTGTGCTAGTGAAGTTTGGAACCGCAAAGTCTTTACGGTTCAGTGACGCTACGATTTTCGTCGAGAGCTCTAGTATATCGTGTCCACCTCTACGTGTTCGCACATACGGTATATTTTTAACTGAAAAGCGCCGAGAAGGGGGTACTTTGTGGCTTAGCTTAGTAATAGAACCTCTGGTGTTGACGTTAAGAAGTATAGGAATAATCGAGGCGGTCGTCAAAGGTAAGATATATTTCATGATTGTTATGACTGTCTATTGTATTCCAAACTGCAACTTCATTTTGAATGTAGAAAATATGATGCGATATAACTTACAAATGGGACTTAAGTTGTTCGTTATTGCTTGTAAAGTATTGTCATAGTTAGAATACGCTAAATGTCGTAAATTATCCGGTACTTGGAAGAGAACACGTAAATCAGGTACCAGTTTATGAGTTCATGTTGTTTTAATAGTGGTGCGTAAATAAGCAAGTAGGCGGCAATTAGTCGAGGGGCGGGGCGAGTGTCAGCGCGGACCGCGACGTCACCCGCAACTTACGGCTACCTGTTACTGGCCGCTACTGGCCAGAGCTCGCCAGACTCTACACAATATCGATATTGCTGACCATTTTATTTTACATAAAGATGCAGTTTTCTTTTAAACGGCCCGTTATTTAAGTCTATCAAAATGTAAATGACATAGAACGCTGATGGATTTATTGCAAGTTCTGGACTTATTGAAAAGAAGTTATTGTGAGTTGGCAGCGAAATATGTAACATTTTAAGAATATGTGTGAAACATAAAAAGCTGAAAAGTTTGTTTCTTAGGTACAGTAATTTCTGGAGACAACATATGATGTGAATCTTGTAGCCTTATTTTTAAAGAACAATTTACAACAGTGGGTGCACAATATGCACGCGAACTAAAGCTAGTTTTTCAAAATGTTTAGTTAGCGTTCATGTTGTAATATCCATTGCTTACAGTTACCGAAGCGTAGGAAGGCAGGAAAGCTTTGTGTATTGTGGCTAGGTAAAGGTTAAATATCGCAGCGAGTATCAACCAGTGAAAGGTTCCTAGCTTAGCGCCCACGGCTACTAAATTAGCTTGTTTATATAAATTGATACTTGCATTTATTTATACTTATTGTATTGTAATAGCGAGTATAATGTACCGCATTTATGTAGGTAGATATGAAATCTATGTATTAACTAAAAATCACATATGTACACACATCGCCTAGTAGGCTGTGCGACATCGCCGCGACACCGCATGCCACTCATGAGAAAGAACCCCTCTTTTTTTTTTTTTAAGGGGGGAAAATCATCGAATGACTGCTCCCGCCTGGGTGAGGCGGAAGGGAGTGTCAGACTCTTACTGACTAAAAACCACCCCGTTCCTTCTCCTGCACGTCGAGCCGGAGCCCCGGTTACCCGTTAGGTTCTCCGCGACTCCGAATCGGCATCGGCCCTATTGGGCCCCATCTGTGGTGGTCTGATGGCCCTTTGAGGCGCGCGCGGAACGCGACGCGCCGTACGCTCGGGTCTGTTTCTGGTCGGACGGGGAGCCACCCATGCTCGCCGTCCGCAGGCCCGCGCTTACGGTGGCCGGAGATCGTCCCGCGATCCCCGACGCCCGGTGTGTCCTTCGCGATGGCTGGGTTGCGAGGAGGCAGCGCTTCGCTGCCTCACGCGTCCCGCCTCCTCCTTAGCTAGCATGACTGCTTCGCAAAAGGAGGAGACGGCATCCCAGTCCCCCTCGCTCCGCATCATGGCCTGCACTAGGCCCGGACGCGAGAGGTCGCCATCGCCGATCACTTCCCTGAGGGCACGGCGGTGCTCAGCCCACGCAGGGCATTCCGCTACGGTGTGTTCCACCGTGTCCTCAGGGCGGTCCTCGCAGTGATGACACCCGGGCGTTTCCTCCCGCCCCATCAGACACAGGTACCTCCCGAAACTTCCATGTCCGGTGAGGACCTGCGTCAGGCGGTAGGTGAGGACGCCGTAGCGTCTCTCAAGCCACTCCTCAAAGAGGGGACTTACCGCTGCAATGGCAGCGAGCCCAGCCCTCGGTTGCGACAGTCGTTGCTGCCATTCCGCCATGAGATCGCGCCGGAGCTCATCCCGCCACGCACTTATCTGGCGCGGCAGCGGAGTTTCGCCCCGGCGACGTGCCTCCGCGCGCATGTTATACACGCGCGCGAGCACCTTCGCCTCCAGATCCCACGGCGGTAATCCGGCAAGGAGGTTCGCCGACTCCCCAGCGATCGTGCGGTATCCGCGGATCATTCGGATCGCCATGACCCTCTGTGACTTGAGCAGCGTCCGAGCAGGACGCCGCAACAAGTTCGGCGCCCAAACAGGGGCGCCGTAGAGGGCCATGGACCGCACGACCCCGGCGTATAACCTCCGGCAGGAGGCGTTTGGCCCCCCGAGGTTGGGGAGGATGCGTTTGAACGCAGCCCCCGTCCTCTCCAACTTTGGGGCCAAACGTCGGAAATGCTCTATGAAGTTCCACCGACTGTCGAGGATGAGTCCTAGGTACTTCATCGCCGTCTCGACGCCGATGGTAACCCCTCCCGCCGTTATTTGGGACCCACCCGGAGGTGGCGCGTTCCCGCGGCCATGAAAACACATGGCCTCGGACTTGTGGAGCGCCACCTCGAGTCCCAACTGCCGGATTCTTTCAACGACTGTCGCAACCGCTGTCGCCATTAAGTCGGCCGCCGCCTGGTGCGACCTCCCGTGCGCTAGCACCAGCGTGTCGTCGGCGTAGCATATTGTGCTAACGCCGTTCGGGAGGTCGGTGCGCAGCACCCAGTCATAGCCGATGTTCCACAGGAGCGGCCCCAGAACCGAACCCTGTGGAACACCGCGTGACATCTCTCGCCGGTTCCACTCGCCCCGGTAAAGAACCCCTCTTTGGCTCGAAACTAGTAGAGCTTTTCTTAGTATTTTCACGTGAGTCACCCGCAATTTTTAGTTAATTTAGTATGTCTCACGATAGTTATTATAAAGACATTATATTTATTTGTAAAAAGTTAGTTTAGTTGGCGAATGACATTTGATATTTTTAAAATTTTTAAATTGTGATTTAACATCCATGGGATTTATGTTTTCAGGTGGGACTTTGAACTATTTCAACACATCTAAGTGGCGATAAGTTTCCCTTTACCTGTTAAGTCAAATTATGACTTAACTCAACTTATAACTATTTCATCAATACTAAAAATTTCAAACAATTTTACCTAGGTTTCAAACTAAAAACAATAAAGTGTAAATGTTCAATAAAATATGGGCAAACTGTGCAACACTTCACGTTTCACGTCGAAACATTATAAAGTAGATAAAAAATGTGAGCACAATTTTTTAATAAATAAAAAATCAATTCCCGTCGAACGTGTAATGCGGGGGTAACTACGGGAATATTAAATTTTCCACGTGCATGTCTCTGTAAAGTTCGTCGTGTTTTGAAGTTCGGTTTACCTGGCCTGCACCAGATATTAATATTATGAAAACCACGGCTCCATACCAACTTTTGTCGGTAAATAGATGAATTCGACTACGGGACTACCTTCCGTCAACTTTGATGCTTGAATACAAGTTGCTCTTTATTTATTTACTTATTCCTACGTCTTCGGGTTGTTTCTCAACTAATATTAGCGATGGCTTTGCTGTGTTTTCGTTTTCATGCATGTTGTTTTATTTATATTTTCTTTAAAGATTATAAGAGCTGCTGTAGCTGTTGCTGAAGCTGACTGGTAGAATAGTAATCGTACTTTTAAAGTCACCTAACAAGCCCGGCTCCGGCACGGCTCAGGCATGGCGATTTTTGCTTTGAAATCAATACAAAAAGGTTGTAATCTTAAACAAAAACGTTATCTTTATGACTGCACAACGTTACGACTGCATGTTGCAACGTTATGACTGCACGGTTGGTGCAGTGGGTGGGCAACCGGCTGCCGTGCAACGCGTCGCGGGTTCGATTCCCGCACGGAACAACACTTTGTGTGATCCACAAATTGGTGTTTCGGGTCTGGGTGTCATTGTGTACGTGAACTTGTATGTTTGTAAACGCACCCACGACACAGGAGAAAATCCTAATGTGGGGCAACGTTTTAAAAAAAATAATAAAAAGTAAAATTAAAATGATCTTCTTTAAACGTTGTATGCTTACAGCTTTTTTATATTGGCGTTATGAAATATGTCATACGATATACGGTTTAAAGTACATATTTAAATGACATTGCTGGGCTGAAGCTTTGCCGGGTGCTTGTTAGATTTTCGATGACCACTACTGTACAATTAAACATTCCATATAAGCAGTTCTGTATCTAATTTCTTTTAGGTTTCCCAAGGAAAAATAACATCTTAACATAACGTCACGCCTTTTATCCCCGAAGGGGTAGACAGAGGTGCACGTCATGCCACTGTACAATGTAGCACCCACTTTTCACTATTTACTAGTCCCATGTAATAGGGGGTGAGCCTAACGCCATATATCGGGCACAATTCCAGACTCCATGCTACCACTGGAATCGAAACCGAGACCCCTTGCCTGGCAGTCGCACTTGCGACCACTCGGCCAACGAGGCAGTCGGCCCAAGCAAAAATTTATGAATATACCTAGGTAACTATTGTCTCAGCAGTTTTTCATCGAGACAAATCCTAGTTTGGTGTGAACTGTGTCCATTAAAAAGCAATATCAGTTCTAATCTCATTTCCTATACAGCCTGCCGGTTTATAGGGCCTTAACTCAGACTTTTACGAAGTGATATATCAGTGGCTAGTATCTATGCGATTCTGTTTATTGTACGGGAATTATTTTGTTGCAAATGGCATGGAAGGACATTGTTGCTGGATTGATAAATAATCGATTGTTGGTATGTTGGTCTCCTGTGTTTTAAGGATTTTATGGCGTCTATGTTAGTTCTTATTTTAAATCTGAATGGCTAATGGGAAGTTAAAATAATCTGGATTTACTCATTGTTTTCATAACATACATAACATCACGCCTTTTATCCTCGAAGGGGTAGGCAGAGGTGCACATTATGCCACTGTACAATGTAACACCCACTTTTCATTGTGTATGTTATGAGTCCCATGTAATAGGTGGTGAGCCTATTGCCATATACCGGGCACAGTTCCAGACTCCGTGCTACCACTGGAATCGAAACCGAGACCCCTTGCCTGGCAGTCGCACTTGCGACCACTCGGCCAACGAGGCAGTCGGCCCAAGCAAAAAT